CGATACCAATATGATCAACCTACTGAAAGATTCTAATTCAACTTACCATGTTTCAAATTGTCTGTGTCCTAGCAAGGAACAAGGTTACCTTATTTCAAATCGTCTGTGTCTTAGCAAGGGACAAGCTTACCTTGTTTCAAATCGTCTGTGTCTTAGCAAGGGACAAGGTTACCTTATTTCAAATCGTCTGTGTCTTAGCAAGAGACAAGCTTACCTTATTTCAAATGGTCTGTGTCTTAGCAAGGGACAAGCTTACCTTGTTTCAAATCGTCTGTGTCTTAGCAAGGGACAAGCTTACCTTATTTCAAATGGTCTGTGTCTTAGCAAGGGACAAGCTTACCTTGTTTCAAATCGTCTGTGTCTTAGCAAGGGACAAGCTTACCTTATTTCAAATGGTCTGTGTCTTAGCAAGGGACAAGCTTACCTTGTTTCAAATCGTCTGTGTCTTAGCAAGGGACAAGCTTACCTTATTTCAAATCGTCTGTGTCTTAGCAAGGGACAAGCTTACCTTGTTTCAAATCGTCTGTGTCTTAGCAAGGAACAAGGTTACCTTATTTCAAATCGTCTGTGTCTTAGCAAGGGAAAAGCTTACCTTGTTTCAAATCGTCTGTGTCTTAGCAAGGAACAAGGTTACTTTATTTCAAATCGTCTGTGTCTTAGCAAGGGAAAAGCTTACCTTGTTTCAAATCGTCTGTGTCTTAGCAAGGAACAAGGTTACTTTAGTTCAAATCGTCTGTATCTTAGCAAGGGACAAGCTTACCTTGTTTCAAATCGTCTGTGTCTTAGCAAGGAACAAGGTTACCTTATTTCAAATCGTCTGTATCTTAGCAAGGGACAAGCTTACCTTGTTTCAAATCGTCTGTGTCCTAGCAAGAAACAAGGTTACCTTATTTCAAATCGTCTGTGTCTTAGCAAGGGAAAAGCTTACCTTGTTTCCATCGGTCTGTGTCGAACAAGCAACAATGTTTTCATATTTGAAATTCTTCATAAACACCAAAACATTATTTTATATTTGCAAATATCTTATGAAGCCATGTTTTCGAAACACTTCCATTACGAGTTGTCATAGCAACAGAACGAACGGTAAGAAACAAAAGAAAAATACTGGAACATACAATACGAACAAGATGTGGGCAGATAATTCTTTATCTTTCAGGGAAAGTAGAAGACTTCTCTTTTCATTCTTTCAGGTGAATATAAACAAGGCGAATTCCAATCAAACATGGCTAAATCGAATTATTTACGCGTCGTTCGAACTGCAGATAGAAACGAACGGACAGAGACTGAGAGAAAAAAACAGTCATGGTCAGATTAAAGCTGATCAGGAAAGCTAAATTTTAATAGATAAATTGGTAGATCTATACAAAGACAGAGGATTAATTTTACTTACAGCCTAGCATAAATAGATATGAACAGACTGCAGATAGATAGATAGATAGACAGACAGACAGAAAAAACTGATAAAGAAATTTTAATGGAAACAAATTTTACATTTCTCGATAAAATGACATGGCCTTATCTACAGAAACAGAAAAAGAAACCCACACGTTGAAGAACAAAAAACACGTATTCTTTGAAGTCGATGAAGACGATATTTGTAAATAACATGCACCAAGAGAATCTATAAAGCATGTTAATAGACAAAAGCTCTAAAAAACTAAAATAATAGGAACGCTATTTTGAATTGTTGAAATAGCCAGCGACGGAAATTCACGAAATATGATGAGATTGTTGCAAAAAAGTAACGAAGAATGAATGTTATTCCTTATGAACGTCATAAGCAAAGGTGAATTTTCTGTGTGATTTTGTCTTTTTTAAAACTTACAATCTCTCAATAAAGCAGGTTTTGTTTGAAGATAGAGAATTAGAAACGAATTTTTTTTTATCTCCAACGTTTACGCAATGTTGGGGAAATTTTAGAAGAGCCTAATGTGTATGCTTTGTGCAATGAGTCAAGTTATTTACATTTTCCTTACAAGCCTACATGAATGTAAGTAAAAAGAAAAGATAGATAGATACGAACAGGCAATGCATGAGATAGATAGATAGATAGATAGATAGATAGATAGATAGATAGATAGATAGATATGAACAGACAGTACATCAATTAGATAGATAGATAGATAGATATGAACAGACAGTACATCAATTAGATAGATAGATAGATAGATAGATAGATAGATAGATATGAACAGACAGTACATCAATTAGATAGATAGATAGATAGATAGATAGATAGATGATAGATAGATAGATACATCAACAGATAGATAGATAGATAATAGATAGATAGATAGATAGATAGATAGATAGATAGATAGATATGAACAGACAGTACATCAATTAGATAGATAGATAGATAGATAGATAGATAGATATGATAGATAGTTAGATATGAACAGATAGATAGATCAATTAGATAGATAGATAGATAGATATGAACAGACAGTACATCAATTAGATAGATAGATAGATAGATAGATAGATAGATAGACAGATAGATCAATTAGACAGATAGATAGATCAATTAGATAGATAGATAGATAGATAGATAGATAGATGAATAGATAGATATCAATTGAACAGACAGATACATCAATTAGATAGATAGATAGATAGATAGATAGATAGATAGATAGATACGAACAGACAATACATGAAATAGATAGTAACAAAGTGAGACAGATCGATCGATTGATCGTTCGATCGCTAGATAGATAGATACTGAACAGAACGAGATGATAGATATTGTGAGGCTCACCCCTTGTACACAAGATGGACTCGTCCAAAGTATACTTATACTACGGAGAGATAGCATGACAGAAAGGTCGAGACAGGGTGTTCACTCAGAGTTATACGAGAGTCCAGAAAGAGAGATAATTACGACTTCACTTACAGAGACTTGTACATATACTTTTCTACTAACCCGCATTCCTGTACTACTAATCTTCATTTCAAGTTTGTATTCTTACATTTAATGCTCATATTTTTCTATTTCAATTACTGGCGTTGTTTTTTATTTGTGCAGGACTCCATCCCGGAATCCACAACAATAGATAATGCACAGAATTTGATAGAAAGAAAGAAAAAAAAGAAAGAAAGAAAGAAAAGAAAGAAAAAAGGCCCATACCGTTGCTGCCTCTAGTTTTTGGGTGTTTTTGTTTTGTTTTTTTTTTTGTTTTTTCTCATGGCTGGAGAAATTGTCTAACATTCACTGCCATATGAGAAGACGGGTGCCACACTGCAATCAAGTACTCTTTTCTTGGATTCTAACGATTTTTTTCCATTTCTCGGCATCTTGTTTAGTTTTTGGACTGCTCTTTCGCTAGACCAATACGTGTTCAAGTTCCCGTGTCATATTTACCATCCTCCGCTTCTCATATATTTCAAATTCTTCACCTGCTTGATTTTTGTATTGCCAATTCATAACTCGTAGTCTTCTTTCAGTTAATTGTTAGACCATTTTTCTTGCTTTGTTCTGCTACACCGTCAAAGAGGTTCTGTTGTTTCCTTTCCGAGTCGGTCATCAACATAATGTCATCTACGTATCTTATATTGTTAAGAATATGAACCTTTATACGTTTTGTGGTATGATAAAATATGTGTTTATTCGGAATTTCTCAAAGCTGATCAAACTGTTTTAATCCACCATGACAGTGACCAGTTGGCCCTTAAGAATCACGTATTGGGATAGAGAAGTTTGAGTTGCTTAACAATGCCGTTTCTCATTCTTAAAATGGCATTCAACAAATTCTCTTGAGTTGGGGTGAGAAATATTCATGTACGATATTCTTAAAACATCTCAGCCTCAAATTATATTTGCTTTCATTTCAGCTGACGCTCGTTTAGTCTACGATACCAATAGGATCAACCTACTGAAAGATTCTTTAAAAAAAATCCTCGAATGAATAGCAGTGACGATTTACCTAAAAGGTGGTGCCAGGTAAGGCCAAGGAAATACTTAGATTTAATAACAAAGATAATATTTATTTTTTATAAATTCTAGAATTCCAAAACGTTGAACAGAAATATTTACTTGCACAATGTTCTTTTGCTATGCCTATTCTTAAATTTAAAAAAAAAATCTCTTATGAAATTGCCCAGCAACGTTACCGTATAACACACATTGAATATCCTTGAATGGCTTCATCAAATATAGACTCTCACATGAATGTCATGTACGACGTTCAACTCGATTTTTTTTCCAAAATATAATTGTAACATTTTATGACTCAGAAAAATATTGTATCTCGTCTGTTTGATGTTAAAAAGGACATAAGTAAACATTTCTGTTAAAACGAAAAATAAATTCAAAAAGGACCTAATTCAACATCCGCCATTTTTGTAATATACTTTTTAGAAAATTGGGGACAAACTTTAGAAAAAGTATTTTTAACAGAATATTGTCTATGGCATTATTATAAAATTTAGTCATTTCGAAAATGGAAAAAACTTACAGTGAACTTACCCCTATTTCGAATCATACCGACGATAAGTATTTTCGCATCTATGCAAATATTTAAATATGTCTGTTAAATAAAATGTTTTTTCAAATTTTCTAATTTTTGCTATTCTTTCAAATTCATTTATTTTTATTCAAATTCTTTTAATTTCTAAAAAAAAAAAAATAAATGTCTTTCAATTTCCAACAACTATTTTCAGCTTTAAATATGTAATTGAATTCATTTTTACACCATACCCCTAATTTAAACCAATTTCAATCATTTGCTTCCAATTTCATCCAAATTAACTCATTTTAACAAAATTACATTCAATTAATTTCTGTGTCAATTTATTTTAATTAGATTTAGCCAATTCGAAAAAAAAAAAAAAAAAAAACGAGTTTAATTCAGTTTCACCTATTTTCACCCGAATTTCAATCAATTTTCTTTTAATTTCACCCAATGTATATTGTACATATTTTCCTTTCATTTCAATCATTTTCTCCCAATTTCAATAATGTTCACCCAACTTATTTATAGAAGGCACAGGGAAGTTACATTTCGGCGGTGGAAAAGTGACTGAAACCGAGATGACAGGTCAGGACCAATAACATTGCAGATTCTTCTTTGGACTTCATCAAGAATATTTTAAAAAATACATCAGGAGCACCAGTTCATATATGGCAGCAATATTAAAAGCAAGGACGAATGGCAGACGAAGTATCTAGCACAACACAATGAATCAAATCTCATAGCAGCAAGTCTAACAATTGATAGTTTTTCCACTTCATGTCAGGGGAAAACGTTAGTCCAAGAATGACTCATTCTTCTTTCTGGTAGTTAGCATCAGCCATACTGATGAAAGGCAAAAATGGTTTTCTCAGACGATTAAAAGAGAACAGTTTCATTTTGAAGGCGTTAAAATTAACAAGGCACTACTTGCCCCAGTTAACAACAGATTGCGGGTCATTTTATTTTTAGATCAGACTCACTGCTAAGAAAGGAGTAAAGACTTGTCCTGATATTGATATATTGTATTAAATTTCACCGTTTACCACCCAAATTTACACTTATTTTGATCAATTTCACATTTATTTCTTTATTGCTTTGGTTGTAACTACACGCTTTATTGAAACCATATACAGTGTGGATTTCTAAATTCCTGTCAATTTTAATTTTTTTTTAAATAGTCTGTTAACGATTTATTCTATTGGTTGACGCGATGTGTCAAACACTATTCTCAGTGTCATTGTGTTTATTTTGTTCACAGCTAATGTGATTTATCTAACTTCTCTTTATCTTTTTCATAAGAACATTTGTAATGCCTCTAACTTTTGTCTTCTTTCTTCATTATTATATTTATTATATTATTTATTGTATTTTACTAGTTATAATTTTTTCTTCTTTTAAACATGATGCAGCTTATTGGCGATGCCTCAGGATTTCTTCGTCTATGTGCCTTGTCGAAGTTGACGATTATGGCTTTCCACAATTTCCTGTCGTTTGTAGCTCTTAAAAAATCTTTGTCTTTTTGTT